CTATCTGCCCCTCCTGTTTCTTACAGTGGTTCCCACACCGGCCCTGTGAGTTCTGGCAAAGAGTGCCACTCCAGGGATGTCGAATTTGGAAGATTCGAGGACGAATCTTGAAAAGAAAAGGGGGAGTAATGTAACAGTTGGGGGTTTATGGGCGCTACCAACTGACCCGGCCGACGGGATCTAGACCTTTTAGCGGAGAGGTTAGAGTGTCTGCCTATGGACTGGTACCCGGGTTTGGTCATGGGTTCGAACCCCAGCCCAAGACCAGTGGGTTTTTATCTGAGCCTCCTCCTGTTTCTTACAACTGAACACTTGACCCCTGATAAGAATGAAACTTTCCTGTTCCCCAGTCTAAGATGATCAGCACGCAGCAGCTGAAGGTAGCCGATGCTAGACATTATCTTATGTTATGGACACTATTGTAACTGGAAAAATGTGTGTTCTAGAGAAGAACATGGTGGTAGGATTATCTGGTTCTAACTGGTTACTGGACTAGCCTACTCACTGATAAGAATGAAACTCTCCCATTCCCCCCAGACTAAGATGATCAGCACCCAGCAGCAGCTGAAGGTTGCCGACGCTCAGATCGATGCTCAGCGGAGACTCCAGCAGCACGCAAAACTCACGGACCAGGAAATATCCAGTCTGCCTGAAGGAACTCGTGTGTACGAGGGTAAGTAAGGGGGCAAAAATCATGGACCAGGAAATCTTCAGTCTGCCTGAGGGAACTCGTGTGTACGAGGGTAAGTAAGGGGGCAAAACTCACGGACCAGATCTCCAGTCTGCCTGAGGGGACACGTGTGTACGAGGGTAAGTAAGGGGGCAAAACTCACGGACCAGATCTCCAGTCTGCCTGAGGGAACACGGGTGTACGAGGGTAAGTAAGGGGGCAAAACTCATGGACCAGGAGATCTTCAGTCTGCCTGAGGGAACACGGGTGTACGAGGGTAAGGGGCAAACTTATCATACTTTTGAACACATAATGCATTGTAGCTATCTGGAATTTATCGTAAAACGTAATAGAGGCTTCGTGAATTCAGCGCAATACATAGCCGGCTCTCAAAATTTAGTGTAGAGTGTAGTAAGTAAGTAGGTATAAAGTGCATTTCCCAAGGGCAAAACATTGTCATTGAGGCCTGTCATGCAGGGATTCAAACCCAGCACCATCACACGAAGGCTTCAGATCTTGCATCAATAACCCTTACCACAAGACCACCTTGCTGTGTTTGTTAGACCTAGAAAAAAAGTTGTGTTTCCTCTTTCAGTCCTAAAAATATTGGGATTGATAGGTTAGGATTATCTTTTTTTAAAGACTTTGGTGATCTCTAGTGATCCACCTTTTACAATTAGTTAAATAAAGTAAAACGTGCAAACTGAAACTTGTACTTTGTCTCTCAGGTGTCAAAAATGGAGCCAAAGAAGGTTCATTAGCTAGAAAAATTTATGTCCCTTGCACAAAAAAATGCTAGGGTCGACAGTTTTTTTCTACGGTTGGTCGGGAAACAGGGATCACATTTTTTCCCTGGGCCTTGCACTGATGTGTTTCCTTTCTCCCCCCCCCCCCACACCACCACCCAGGTGTAGGTCGTATGTTCATCCTCCAGCCCATCCCCACGGTCAGAGACAACCTCAAGACGAAGGTGGAGTCTTCCGACGACAAGATTAAGAAGCTTCAGAGCAACAAGACATACCTGGAGAGGAACGTCAAGGAGAGCCAGGAAAACATCAGGGAGATGATCATGCAGAAAAAAGCTGCCAGCTAACTATGACACAGTTAAAATCTAGTCAGAAATAGAGCTGACAACATAAAATGTTGGTGTCCCAGTTTGCATTTTGATAAAGCATATGGTACTTTTTGTTTCTAAGCACAAGCATTTTTCAACGTACATGAAAGATTTTCTCAATTAACGTCAAGGGAAGACATCAGGGAAATGATCATTGCAAAAAGGCTGCCAGCTAACTGTTAAATATTATAGAGCTGACATGATGGTGTCCCAGTTTGTGTTTTGATAAAGCATTCAGCACAAGCATATTTAGATATTTAAGATCCTCAGAAATAACGTCAAGGAGAATACCAGGAAAAAGACCATGCAGAAAAAGGCTGCCAGCTACGTGTGCATCACCATTGAACTTACTGTTAGCATTTAGTCATAAATAGATTAGAGTGACATGTTGGTGTCCCAGTTTTCATTTTGATAAAGCATACAGCACAAGCATTTAGGACATTTCAGAACCTCTCAAATAACATCAAGGAAGGGAAGAAGAAGGAGAACATCAGGGATCGTGCAGAAAAAAGCTACCAGCTAACTATGACACAGTTAAATGTTATAGAGCTGACATGTTGGTGTCCCAGTTTGCATTTTGATAGAGCATATGATACTTTTTTTTTTCTAAGCACAAGCATTTTTCAACGTACATGAAAGATTTTCTCAATTAACGTCAAGGAAAGACATCAGGGAAATGATAATGCAGAAAAAAGCTGACTGTTAAATATTATAGAGCTGACATGATGGTGTCCCACTTTGTGTTTTGATAAAGCATTCAGCACAAGCATATTTAGATATTTAAGATCCTCAGAAATAACGTCAAGGAGAACACGAGGGAAATGATCATGCAGAAAAAAGGCTGCCAGCTAACTGTGCATCACCATTGAACTTACTGTTAGCATTTAGTCATAAATAGAGTGACATGTTGGTGTCCCAGTTTTCATTTTGATAAAGCATACAGCACAAGCATTTAAGAACCTCTCAAATAACATCAAGGAAAGGAAGAAGAACATCAGGGAAAAGATCATGCAGAAAAAGGCTGCCAGCGAACTGTTAACAGTTAACATCTAGTCAGAAATAGAGTGACATGTTGGTGTCCCACTTTGTGTTTTGATAAAGCATACAGCACAAGCATATTTAGAAATTTAAATTAAAATCCCCACAAATAACATCAAGGAGAATGCCAGGGAAAAGACCATGCATGTGCATGTACCATTGAACTTACTGTTATTGTGTTAAGATCTAGTCAGATATAGAGCTGCCATGTCAGTGTCCCAATTTGCATTTCAGACAGTGAATCATAGCTCAAGCTCACAAATAACATCAAGGAAAACCATGAGAACATCATGGAAATGATCTTGCATTCATAGCACAAGAATTTTTGGACATTCAAGATCCTCTCAAATACATGTAACATCACAAAAAGTCAGAAGAAGGTGAACAAATGTAAAGTCATAAGGAGGTATAGAAAAGCGTGTCTTTGTGTGTGTGTGTCATTTTTACAGATTATACAGTAACTGGGACTCATAGACTCAAACCTACATGTATGTATCAATGTTTTGCCTTTTATTAAAAAGCTGAATTTGTCCATATCAGACAAAGTATCTACACATAGTTCACAGATATTTGTTTTACATTCTCACATTGCAGGGTGGTTTCGATCATGCAGCTTTTTTTTTTTTTTTGCTTTTTTATTTCCAGATCTCACAAAATTGTATGTTTTCTGCAATAAATGTTTGGTTCTATACATTTACATTGTATGCAGTATGAAATGACAGTAGATGGCTACAGTTTGCTCATAGCTTGAGCTACTTTAGAGCTGGTTCTCCTCCCCAGAGCTGCTGAGATGAAACTGCCAACACTGGTCAGCTTGGCCAGGTCTACTCCCTGTGGTAGAGAGAATACAGCAGGTTACAGCACAAGACTTGGCCTTATACATCCAGTATGTGTAGCATGTAATCTTTATCATTTAAATCTTTGGGGGATTTTGAGGAAAACTTGGATGCATGGGTATGGTTACCTCATATCTCTCAATGTATAATGATACTGCTTTTGTATGTAACCCAGGTGAGGTTAAAAAGCTTCCCTACATTAATATATTCAAAATATGTGGTCACATTATCAGCTAGTAGCTGCATAGTGCCCACATTGTATTGTCTTGCTGCAATTTAAGTAAAGAAATTTATTGGTACTGGTTGCTAAACTGGTTGCAGCTCTCTATGCAATTGTGTACACTTGTCACAATGTGCAAATCACCTGGAATGAAAACCGGATTTGAAAGACAGGTATATCATTTTTCTAACTAGGGAACAATAAGTTTTTGCCACAAAAAAACAACAAAACTTTTATATTGTTCAGAGATAGCTAGAAAACACAAGAAGTGCTACCATTCTGATGCCCAGCCCATGTAACATATACTAGGGAACAATGAGAACTTTTATATTGTTCAGAGATAGCTAGAAAATACAAGAAGAAGTTAGGTACCGTTCTGATGCCCAGCCCATGTAACATGTACACAACATCCTCCGTCGCCACATTTCCTGACGCTCCCTTTGCGTACGGACATCCACCAAGACCAGCTACGGAAGAGTCCACTACACTCACCCCCATCTGCAAACAAAAATGGTTCAGTCTGATTGTACACAAGTACATCATCATCATAAATCAATTCCTGTGTCACAATAAAGTAGCGGTCAGTGGAACTTGTTGTGCAATTACATATTTGTGCTGTTTAGGAGGGATACCATGTAAGGGATTGTGCTTTTTGTATCTGTCAGTCCTAGTTGTGATAGTGTCTATAAGCTGAGAAGTTCTCGTTAGTCTGCCGCTAACCTCGCCACAGAGAGGTGGTAGCCAGTTGCTGAATTTTTATGATATATATATATATGACTGGTTTATTGATAACGACGTAAAACAGTTTTGCAGAACCCAGGGGTTCTGAATTGCACTGTTACTTACAATTACAACCCATTAAAAGCTTTAAAATCGAACAACATCTATTACAAACATATACACATATGATAAAATCTATTAGAGTTATAAATGTTAATAAGTTTACATTGCTGGATAAAATACATATTAAGATTACGAATTCGAGGTAAAACAGTGGTCATAAAGAAGGCTACTAAACAAAACGTGTTATTAAGGCATGACAGTTAATTACCCCTCAATGACTGGAAGGTCGTAACCGAGTACGCTCGATTACTTATTTAGTAGGCTAACAATATATGGGATGGAACTGTTGCGGTAGCGCTGAGTCTTTGCAACAATACAGTTCAGTTTGTGACTAGTTCGGGTCAACTCGGTCCACTACCCTGGTCAACTCGGTCAACTCGATCAACTCGGTCAACTCGGTCAACTCGGTCCACTACCCTGGTCAACTCGGTCAACTCGGTCAACTCGGTCCACTACCCTGGTCAACTCGGTCAACTCGGTCAACTCGGTCAACTCGGTCAACTCCGTCCACTACCCTGGTCAACTCGGTCAACTCGGTCAACTCGGTCAACTCGGTCCACTACCCTGGTCAACTCGGTCAACTCGGTCAACTCGGTCAACTCGATCAACTCGGTCAACTCGGTCAACTCGGTCCACTACCCTGGTCAACTCGGTCAACTCGGTCCACTACCCTGGTCAACTCGGTCAACTCGGTCCACTACCCTGGTCAACTCGGTCAACTCGGTCAACTCGGTCAACTCGATCAACTCGGTCAACTCGGTCCACTACCCTGGTCAACTCGGTCAACTCGGTCAACTCGGTCTTCGCCCTGAGATGGAGGGAGCCAATGTCTGAAGGAAGCAGAGTTCAGTAGACTGAGTCCGAACTTCGTACACAGCAGTTCTCTCCTTCTTTCAAGGGTAGACAGGCCGAGGACTGTAAGTGCTTCAGAGTAACAGGTGTACTTCTTGCCCAGAATGGTGCGGCATGCGCGGCGTTGAACTGTCTCTAGACGGGTTGACTGGAGTTTGGTGAGACCAGGGTTCCATACCGGTACAGCGTACTCGCACAAGGGGCGCACGTAACATGTATAAACGGTGACAAGATGTCAACAGTTGTCTGGCAAACTTATAACACAGAAATAATATTTGGTATATGTTCAATCTATATAAATTACTATATCATATAACTGTAAATGTAATCATACACACAAACCTGTAGTGCGGTGAGTATGTTAGCGAGAGCCTGTCCGTAGGTATCGTGACAGTGAACGGCTAACGCACTGACGGGAACTTCCCTCGTCACAGCCTCCAACATAGCCTGCATCCCCCCCGGCGTCCCCACCCCAATGGTATCTCCCAGCGAGATCTCGTAACATCCCATGGAGTACATCTTCTTAGCAACCTGTACACAGATGTTAGATTATTATTGATTTGATTTGATTTATTTAAGAATTGCAACAGTGCAATACACGCGGAACAGAGGCAGCTGTTGCTGGTGTTGTGTCCTACACATAGAAATGGATACTGGACAGACAATACTCATCTTCACTTGAGTCTAGCGGGGAAAGTCGTGTTAAGTGCCTTTCCCAAGGGCACAAGATCAGTGGCATGTCAGGACTCGATTTATGGCGCAAGTTTAAACTGTAATTTTCAACACAACAAGTTGGACCCAAATTTTCTACTGTACAACTCCAGTCTGTCATGGACTCAGCTTCTGTGACGTCACTTTATGCAGATGACACACGTGACTCAGTAAGCAGTGTCTGTGATCATAGGATGCGGAAAGTCTGTGGCATCCCCCGTCTTTGTTGAGGGATAATTTAGATGGCCTCTTTAATACCTCGTCCGAAAAAGTCTGGTTACATGTAAAAATAAGAAAACAGAACTCACCTCTGCCACTGCCTCTGGTTGTATCTTTCCTTCATACGGACACCCCAACACACAGGACACATACCTGTTCATTCAAGAGGAAAGATATAAAAATATCGCTCACTCTGAACAATATTGTTTTGAACTCTCATCCTTGTGTTTCAGAATTACAAAAATTTTAATCAGTTTAAAACAAATTAAATGCACACATAAACTACAGTAGCCACAAAAATTGATAAAACAATAGGACAGTGTTCATACTCACGCTCTCACAGGAATGTTCGCTACTTTTGCTGCCTTCATGACTTCATCAAATCTTCTCAGGCTCTCTTCTATGGTGCAGTTGATGTTTTTCCTTGTGGCAAAAAAAACAACAAACAAACACAAACACAATATATTTGCTGGAAAAGAGGTTGATATTTTTGATAACCTTAAATTGTTAATCAAGCATATGTATATACCGGTAACACTCATTGGAACATTAGCCAATATGGCCGTCCCCGTTGATTCAAGGGTGAAAAAGAATAGGATTTTTACCTTTGCCAAGAAGGTTGTGTTTTCAGAGGCGTGTGTGTGTGTGTGTGTGTTTGTGTGTGTCTGGAAACACGATACTTTAAGAAGGCTTTAATGGATTGACTTGATAATTGGTAGGAGGGTAGGTCTTGGTGAGACATGGAAATGATTAGATTTTGGACCACCTTGCGTCTTCTTATGGTACTGCAGCGGAACTTTTGGTTTTAATATCTCATGACCTAGACATGCTAGGGTCACGAAATTTGGATGAATGGCATTCTTTGTTAAGATAAGTTAATGAGGATCCTACATGCATAACCAGGGGGAATAATCTGTAATTTGTCAGTCATAAAGACTAACATCATTGGCGAAGGTATGAGATCGTGGAACTCTAGTTCCATTATTTGGTCACAAATACAGGTACAATACTGCATCCACTTACTTTGAAAATGATTCAGAAGCTGCCCCGAATATGGCCACTTCTTTAGCACCTACTGCAATCTGAGGAACAAAAGAAAATATCTGAATGAATGAATGAATGAATGAATGAATGAATGAATGAATGAATGAATGAATGAATGAATGAATGAATGAATGAATGAATGAATGAATGAATGAATGAATGAAAATTTTTATTTTCGTGTTAAAGTAATATAGTATAACAGACAATTTTCAAAGTAACTACACCAAACAAAAGAAGAATGGACCAAAGTAGAGTGTTAAGACAACTAAGTGAAGATTGTTAGAAGCCTTACGGCAGACTGGAAGCCCTTCAGGTTAGGTGTGAGGACAGGATAGTTCACTCCTGGGTGCCTCCTGATGTCCCTCATCACATCTGTGTGGTCCCCCATCTGAAAACAACATGGAATCTTCCACAGGACTGTTCCATTGCAAAATCTCTTGGAGGGGAGTCATGAACATTTGGGTAATAAAAAAGGAATATGCAGTATAGAAGGAAAAATTCCTTTCCTTTAGAGTTACTGTAATTATTTGAATGTTATCTTTGAAAATGATGCAAGAGAAATTCAGAAACAAAACAAGGAGAAGTCGTAGACATCATCCCTCCATGAAATAGCTTGTTATTTTGTAATCTTTTGGTGTATTTCAATAGAGATATTATGAGTCAAACTGTTATAGAGTTTGCGAATATAGAGTCAATTCCGCGTCACCGAGTGGGTTGTTATTGTCATTATTTAGAAATGTTTTGAATTCTTTGTAATTGTTTGTCTAAGAAATTTCATAATTTGGAAATATTTTGAACATCTTGTCAATATTCTAAATAATTCCCTGGTTTTCTAAAACGTTTGAAATATTCCTGATGTGGATTATGACATTTCCAATAGTTTCTAAATATTTCTAACAGCACTCTACCATTTTTTACCATTATTTCGAATTATTTCTAACATTTTGTAAATAGGTCAGTGGGATGGGAAGGAAGTAATTCACACATCCCTGTGAAGTACAGGGTAGACTGCCTGGGCGTCAGGCATTGATGCCTTAAACAAAAAGAGCCACCAGTGTCCAGCAGTGAAATCTAAAAAATATACAGAGGAAGACAGAAGAGTAGGATTAGCACCTACTTTTATGGGGGCAATTACCCACATCTACCATTTGGTTATTTGTTTGAAATAGTTCTACATATTTCGAATTGTGAAAGAAACACATGGGTAGTTCAAATTTATTCTAAAGAAAGAGATCTTTGTACAGTCACATTCAAAATGTTTCAGAAATATATAAATGAATTCAAATATATTCAAATTTTCATTTTCAAATTTTTAAAAAATTTAGAACTTTTGTTACTGGGGTATTCTTTTCTTCTAAATAATTCAAACGTATTAGAAACATGGAGAAAAAACCCACTCGGTGACGCGGAATGGACTCTACTACTGGGGATGGTACCCAGGCTACATTTGCCTGTACATGTAGGTCAATGACCAGACAAATGACCTGCAGACCAGACAAACAAGATTTATTTTCCTGCACACTCTATAGGGGTAAAAATAGATAGGGCTCCCTGGGTCTGGCCTGCCAGCTGGAGGTATAAACAAAAACACTCTGTCCCAACTTTTGGGTCAAACAGACCATCCTATTATGAAGTAGGGGTGAAAAAGTGAAAATCCTTTTAAATCAAGCAATAAAAATATGCGACAACCTGCTAATGCACTCCAAAACACAAAGAGACTCAACAACTACCCACATACCAAAAATCATACCAAACCATCCCCTAGATTTTCCAAACATTCAACACAAAAAGTCCAACATTAAACATTTTGTAAATATCAAACGCAAACAGCTAGGGGACCCAAATTTAAACCACTAAACCATGGTAATAACAACTACATGCTACCTTAATATCGCACAAACAGTCCATAACGCGAAAACAACAGAATAAAAAAATTAAACTGCAGTACCAAGGTCAATCACCAGGGGCTCAAAGTCAACCTACACAATCTCCAAGGCCCCATCCATCAATCTGCCAAATATCGTACAGTTCCTTCTCACCGATCTTCAGACCAAACATGAAACGGAGTAAAAACAGTACCCCCATTTTCATGGAGGGTAACTAGAAAGGTAACAACATTTGCAAAGCAAATGCATATGTTTACCTTCACATGGCCCTTTGTTTATTCTTACTCAAAGACACTTATATATATGGTGCATGCATATGGCACTTGCAACATGATGTAACCCAACACCAGTTACCATGGTGACAGACGTCTGGTCCTGGTCATTGACCTTATTTCTTTGGAACGGACAGAAGAAGAAGAGGAAGAAACTGAGCAAAAACAATATGTTTTCCTTTGGTAAACATGATAATTTTCTTAAGCTAAAGTATAATCATAGTTGAATGTTTCTTTGTGTAGTTGATAATAAATGTACCAGACTGGTGTTACTATGACGACCCACCTGTGGTACCCATTTTGGTGAGACGAAGCTGGTGGCCTCGATGACAGACAGTCCCGTCTCTGACAGTCTGTTGATGAGATCAACCTTCACGGATGTGGGCACGATTTGCTGATTTAGACATTAACAACACAAATATATTCATGGATTTATTTTTATCCATGCAATATTCAAATCAGCCTGTAAGTCACTTTTAATGAATGAATGAATTTTATTGCCTGACAATCGTACATGGTAAGACAAGAAGTCAAGACAATAAGTAAACTATCTTACAATTATTACTACAAACTTGAGTTATGCTGTTCAGTCACAACCAATTTACAAACATACAAAAACTACCAAAAACACCAACTTCAAGGCAAAGTCAACAATCTTGGGACTACTGTAATTCCTGATTTTTTCACAGTACTGTTATGTTCACTGTTTTCACTGTCACTTCTGTACCGTGAATTTATCATTACAGTTAACAAATAATTCTTTCTTTTTCCTGCACCTGTCGCTACTGTGAATATATAATTCCGTGAACATGTCCACTTTTCTCAGGCCGTGAACTTTTGCTACCGTGAACATAGAGTAAATTACAGTATGTAATATCAATTGTATGTGATGTGATTGATTAAAGTAGATGAATCACTTGCTTGCTGACCTTCTCATTCTGTAAACCGTCTCTTGGTCCCACTTCCACAATTTTCACATACTCGGGAAGTCTGGTACCCTGAGGAATATACAACACAACATATATAATCTATCAATCAACTGTCATAATCACCTCCCACCCAGTTTGCCACAACACAAACCCAACAACTCAGCCACCCAAACAATACTTCCATACCAGAGAGTAACTAAATGACATTTGCATGAATTGCACGGTGCACCTATATTGCTAAGTATTGATGATTTTATCTTGCGTTATTCAACTACAGAATTTGCATAATTTTGGGCATATGTTGGAAATGGTTGAAACTTTTCCCAAAAATTTCCGACAGTTTAAATGCTCTTCACCATATATTCACTCATTGAACTAGAGCTTCCAAGAACGATTATATTTCTCGTATATCAATGACGTACGTAAAAACAACAAAATATCATTGAATAACTTGCGGCTGTAAAAAAAGTGATGGGCTAGTCTGATAAAAAATATTCATCATACATGCACAAGGACAAGTCGTAAAAAAGACGTTCTAAAGTTTGTATTGCTGTATAAACTTTCCCACACGTACACAAATTATCACTCTTCAATACTTGAGAATTTCGAGCCGACTTACGGCATTTGTGGTGTACTTTCGCCCGAAATTGTGGACCATTCGCAGCAAAAATCTCGTCGGGACAGGAGCCATCTTGGATAATACCAACGTCAGTTTCAGAAAAATTATAGGGGTGTCCAAAGTTTGGTAACATTTTCATATCACACAATTAACTTGATAGATATACATTTTAATCTTATGAGTTTGATATATCATAAACTTATCATTTAATATATCTATGTTGTTTAGGCCAATATTTGACTTTGAAATTTTACTTAAATTTTCAAGGTGCTTTAGTAGAATATTCCTGCGCCCTCTGACCTGCATGTTCCAACATGGGTGTAGCTTGTACGCTTGGCTTACGGACAGGTGGGGCAGTAAAACTACCTGAAGTTTCCTCATTATAACCCCGCCAAAAACCTCCCCAAAACCTGCGGAATGAGGGAAATAACCGGTCGGGCGGCTGCCAGGTACAGCCGGCTTAACCAGGAGTCCGATTCTAGCGAGGCAGAAGGTGACGAAGTGGTTCTGTACATCGACAACAACTACCAAGGCACGCGGGGGCACGCCTACCCTGGGCGGCCGTCTTGTTGTAGCGTCTGTTGCCACCTTCTTGCCTCGGTAATTCTCATCCTAGTCGCCACTGCCTTCGGTTTACCTGCCTGGAAAGCTTACCACGGCCAGCTACAAGACGGGCACCATCCGCATACGGTAAGTTTTAGGTGTAAAGTTGAAGTATAATGTAATGATACGTTACGTTGCCATGTGCATGTGTGTCTGAAATTTTACGGGTCACTTCCTGAAAGAGTTGTCTTGCCCTTTTTTATTTCACTCTAATAGATAAAATGCTACAGAGAAAATGCACGTTTACTTTAAGCAAAACAGTATACAAATACAAAAGACAAACAGATACTAGATTACATTCCATATGGTATCATGTAGTATATTAAAAACACTTCTGAAATCCCACAATTTGTATTCCAAACTTTTATTCACTGTTACATATGTATTTTATTCTTATTGCCTAGCTAGAACACAATGTCTAGAACATATTAGTGTGCAACTTTCTTACTGTAAAATTTGGGTAAAAATTTAAAAAAAAATCATTGTAAAAACACGTTTTATACAGGAGAAAATTGATCTAGAAATTCTAGTAGAATGCACATGATTCTAATACGTGTAATTACATACAGTAGTAAGTGCCCTCTTGGTACTTAAGTATGACATATCGTGCCTACAAGTACTGTTTGCTAATGTATAAAATTACTTCCCAAGCTTTTCATCAAATATGCTGGTGCGTTTTGTGTGCCTAACCATTTCTGAATGCGTAATCAGTTCGGTAAATAAGGAAAGAAACGGATTTTCTTTGAATGAGAAACTGTAAGGGGGTTTAGTGGCGGCCATTTTGGAATTAGGGCAGGTGGTTTTTAGAGCATTAAACTGAGACGGACCACTATGCACCAGGGGTTGAAAATCTTTTTGTTCTTTCTTTACATTTTTTAAAAGGTGAAAAATAGTAAAATTTATACTTTTGGCATAAAGCAAAATTGTTCAAAAAAATAACTTGTGGCCAATTTGCCATCAACTTTTTGTCACCAATTTGTATATGAAAGGTGTTCATATTTAGCATCACCCCTATATCCATAATGGTACAATCCCGAATGAAACAGGTGTCATAGATGGTAGATTTTCTCATGAACATGATTAATGTACATTGATTAAAGGGTTTATGCAACAATATTTTTTTCTAAACAAAGACTTATTATACAGACTTTTAGTCTACATTTTGTATCATCAAATTCTTTTAATGGAGGTAGAATTCTTGTTCAATTCTACCTCCATGTTCTCAGTTTCTTACTTTTCTAGGACCTTTTTTTCATTTCCATACAACCACCCACCATGACGATTTCTAAGGAGAACAAAAGATCGTTGTGTATGAAATCCATTAGCTGTCACAGTGTTTGTGTTATCGGTAATTCAGTTTGTTTAAGCTACAGTTATAGCTTTGTATTCAAATAATGAAAGCCCGGATATGCATGTATGTATGTATTCAATGACTGAAACAAACCCAGATTCTTTCTAAACTTCCGTCTAATTCCCGAACGCTATAAGTGGTTTGTAGCCCTTGGAGAGTTGTACACTTCTCTATCCAGAACATGTTACAATTAGCCACTGAAGGTTCGACATAGTCAATGACTAGAATAAGCTACAGCAGGAAGCTCTATGAAATACTTAAAATCATTAAATTGAGTACTAAGGGAAAGATGGTGTTTTAACTTAAGTTGAAATGTTTGAAACAATAAAACTTAGTAAGATAGAGCACACATTTGCAGTAAAATCTTATCATGAACATAAAGTTACCTCAAATATTTCATGAATTAAAAGCACTTGGTACTACAACAGCACTTTTGAAATTCGTCATGGAGCTAATTATATTTAGAATCATTAGATTATAACATGAGAGGTTTTTCCCACGTCTCCAGGGCTACTCCGTATTCAAGCATGCAGCAGTTGCCACTGACTCCTCGGAGTGTTCACAAATCGGAGCAGACATATTGGAGAAGCGAGGTGGAAGTGCGGTGGACGCTGCCATCGCTGCCTTGTACTGTCTTGGAATCAAGCATCCACACAGCGCAGGGATAGGGGGAGGACTGTTCTTTGTCATCTATGACAGGTGAAATATCTTACTAGCAAGAAACCCGATTTCAAACTTCTGGGAAGTAGATATAGTTTGTGTTAATGGATTACATCATTCCTGAGATTGTATGATGAAACATATTCTGCTATCACATCAAGGTTTATGGTTCATACGTTGCTGGAAACCACATAAATGCAGGTCAAAACCCTGTCAATCAGTTGGAACCCAATCTCTGCCCACCCACCTTGAAACCTAAACACACAAACCTTATGATAAAAAATGTTTATTACCATTTTTGGATATCTGTTGACTCTTAATTCCACCATGCCATACAAGCACAGTCAGTAGAGGGCTTTCTTGCTGTAAGATCCCTGCACCTCCCCCCCAAGTTTTAGAGGGTGATGAAGAAGAATAATTCTAAATCATTTTATATTTCCAGGTCGCGTGGAGCAGCAGAAGTTATCGATGCTCGTGAGGTTGCACCGGCAGCCGCCACCATGGACATGTTTGGTGACAATAGAACACTGTCACAAGTTGGTGAGTGAAACAACTGGTTTTCTTCATGTCATAACATTGGCTTATGCCTACAGGTATTATTTGGACAGACCTCTACTCTTTTCGATAAGTGCTTGAGGTGTGGCTATCCTCAGACACAGGACCTCCATTCAGTGTCCTATCCAATGGGTGCTTCTAGTTTAAACTAGCTACTAGTATATAGGTACTCATTTTCACCTGAGGAAATTGGTGTAAAGGGTACAAGGATTTGAACCCAGAACCTCTAGATCTGGCTTCTGAGTCAACAATCCTTACTAAAAGACTCCATGATAAGATTTCTTGGCCATTTGTTTTTGTTGACACTTGTTTGGGAGAGAATAAGCTATTGGATGGCATTTCAGCACCTGATGTTGATTTTCACTAAACCATTTTTTCTGTCCATTTCTTGAAGGTGGTCTTGCTGTGGCTGTGCCAGGTGCAGTCAAAGGTCACATGGAGGCTCACCAGCGCTACGGAAAGCTTCCCTGGGGTGATCTCTTACAGCCCGCGATCGAACTAGCACGATCCGGAACCACCGTCGACAAGGCACTCGCACACGCGCTCAAAAGTGCTGAACACAAAGTAAAGGCATCTCCTCTCCAAGACGTTTTTTGCGATCAGGACGGCAATGTACTTACAGAGGGCAAAAAGTACAAAATGTCTGATTTGTCCCGAACGTTAGACAGTATAGCCAGGCACGGCGGGGATGTGTTTTATTCCGGAAACATCGCAACGAACCTTGTCACAAATATCCAAAGCCAAGGTGGAATTATAGCCAAAGATGATTTTGAGAACTACAGAGTCAACCTAACAAGGCCAAAATATTCAGAATTAAAGACAGCGGGTTTGAGAATGATTTCCACGGGTCCACCAGGTGGAGGGGCAGTGTTCGAATTCATCCTCAAAACGTTAGAAGAATTCGAACTGAACCCGAAAAGTGTTGCAGGGGAAGATCTGGCGATCACGTTACACAAGATAGCAGAGGTGTTCAAATTTGCTGCCGCAGAAAGAACACATTTAGGTGACCCACGTTTTGAAAACGTGGCTGATGAAGTGGCTAAGCTAACGTCTGATTCATTTGCCGAGGAAATCATGAGAAAAATCAAAAATCATGGACACCACACGAGCGACGACTCGAAAGGTTATTACGGGGCACAATTTTACAACGCAGATGATGCAGGAACCACGCATGTCTCCGTTCTTGCGGCAAACGGTGATGCCGTAGCGGTTACAAGCACGATCAATCATTACTTCGGGTCGGGCGTTTATTCGCCGTCTACGGGAGTCATCCTTAACAACGAGATGTCAGACCTCTCTAGCCCTGGTTTTCATAGAAACGACAAGGACTTCCCACCGTATTCCAAAAAATTTTATCAGGTCAGTGCAAGGTCTTCACTACTTATATTATTGCATTGAATTTTACCTTATGTAGGTCTTAGATATAACAATATACAGAAGACTTTTTCATCCAATAAATCTAATGTTTCTCCCCCCCAGACGAGGGAAGCGCCCGATGTCGTCCACCTGCCCCACCATCATGATTGACAGGAACCAGAACGTGCAGGTGGTCATGGGAGCATCAGGAGGCATGATGATACCAACAGCAGCGGCGCAGGTGAGTGTTGATGTCAAAATATACTTGTGGTGAGGGTTAGTATGAAAGTTAATCTGAGTTGCAAGTACATAATGAGAATTAAACTCAGTCTGTTTTTTTCACTTGACGTAAGTGTAACTTCTGTTAGGGACATCCTTTTGGATAGGACGTAAAGCTGGACGTCCCGTGAGATGCACGTTAAGTATGTGAAAGATCCCATCATTATCAAAAAGAGTAGGGGTCCTTCCGTGGTGTAGCCAGGCTAGGGGCCTAACTAGTGGAATGGCTGCTAGAAGCATCATGTAGTCAGGCTAAATCCCTGCCACCACTCTACAAATAATTTAATCCCTTTGTAACAGTGGGGGGTTTACAGGCGCTACCAACTGATCCGGCCAATGGGTCTAGACCTTTTCGGCCAAGTGGTTAGAGCGTCAGATTTTGAAGCTGGTGCTCGGGAGGTCGTGGGTTTGAACCCCGACACGGGCCCAGGGGTTTTTATCTGTTTCTACTGGCTCCTCCTGTTTCTTACACCTTCTCTCTTGCAGGTTTTTGCCAACATGGAGTGGTTTGGTATGGACATGTTAGAGGCAGTAGACAGTGGAAGAATCCACCACCAGCTGGAGCCCAACGAGCTGTACATGGAGCGGAAACTCTGGAACAACCACGAACTTGTGCACAAACTCTCGCACTGGGACTACAACCCCTCGCCTACAATCTACGACGATGGGAGCTACGCCGCGGTGCAGGTTATATGGAGGGAGGGGGCGGAAATACAAGCGTGCAGCGATCCGCGAAAAGGGGGCAAACCAGCGGGGTACTGAGGGGGTGGTTCATTTTTTGTCATACCTGGGTCATTCTTATGTTTGATACAAGTGTTCTGGGCCTGTCAGTATTTTACTTTATCATGCCTTCTAGTTGTTTTACATGGGCTTCCATAGAATAAAATCAATGTATTGTACTGAAAATTCAAATACCAGATTCAGATTTAGAAGTAATGTATTCTGTACATTCATGGGGGGATGGTGCAAAATAGCTGTCAAATGAGAGTGTATTGTGGTGAGCTGAGATGTGGTGAGCTGAGATGAGTAAAAACTAAGAAATGTGTTGTGTCTGGATTTCAGCACCAAGGACAACACTAACTCTCATACACAACAACATGTGCACAGGACTTGGTGATGTCATCTCTGCGAGAACAAAAATAGTGCACAGGACTCAGTGATGTCAGCAAATGTAGGAAGGTTACATGCTTCACAATACAATGTTATTTATTCACCCATTTTTTTTTTACAAAATCACAAAATTCATCTTTTTTTTTTAAACAAAAAAACTAGTAATTCAGTCCTCTTAAAACATCAAAACCTCTTATGGTTTGTCTGTCCAGCATGGGATTGTACAATATTTATCTGGGAAAAGTTAAGCCTTTTTATATTTTGAGTTTGCACAAAGTGTTCAATATCTTTACGATGTATATTCCAAAGAAGTTGTGATTTTTCTAAATTTTTTCTAATTGAATATCAACATATCAGAGATGAATTATTTTGTATTTTGATAATCATGAATAAGATCCCTATTTGTACTTTGGTTTGCAGATGAATTACATGTATAAATTTTTTTGCAATTTGACAAAGTGTGAAATGTACCAAAGTGCCTACCACATGCAAGATTGTGGTGAAATATCTATGCATTGACAACCAAGAATTACCAAATAGGTGACTGTATATTTTGAATAATTTCATAATTTTTATATATATGCAGGGATTTGTACAAGTTGTTTGTATTTTTTACTGTGATATGGTTGGAACTTTTGCTGCTTAATATTTGTGACTGAGCTTTTTTTCAACTGTCACAAAAATTGTCAAAAATGGAAGGTACTACAAACAATGTATATATAATAACTATGCAATACATAAAGTTAAATGTATGTCGTGACTTTGTATGTGATTTAAGACATGCAGTACCTTTTTTTCTTCTTGTAAAATTTAGTTTTTGGTTTTTTTATTGGTGTGCAGAAGAATTGTAATTCATGACTATTCTCCAAGCAGATATTGGAAGACAAATTGTAGATCTTATGTGAACAAACAAGTCAAGAATGAACAAATTTGTATATATTTTAATACAGTAGGTGTATATTATGGTCAGAGTTGTAAAAGATTATACATGTAATTTTAGAGTTATTAAATGTTTAGAATGGGATGCTTTGAATCGGTGGCTCAGAATGTTGTAAACATGTTTAGTACTGTTCAGTCTATTTGAATCTTAGATCACATGTCAAACAGTTTTTGGGGATAACATTATAAAATGTTATGTGTTCATTTTGATCAGTTCCAGTGTTCCACACTAAGCTATAGAAGAAACCAGGTTGAAGGTTTAATCTTACACAAGTAGGGTTCACATCAGAAATAAATGGAGTTGTGACTCTATCCAGAGTGGTCTTTGACTTAACTGTAACAAAGTGGTAGACAATATTTTATCAGGCTTTCTTTTTTGCTTTCTTTTGGTTGGATTGGCATAAAAAAAGACACCAGTGCAAAAAAAAGCCCAATAAAAAGCCTAAAAGCACGCCAAAACACAAACCTCTGAATCTGATTGGAGAGTCACAAAAAAAAAAGGTTGTATCGAACTGAGCACCAGCTGGCTCTATCTATATGACACGGATGTCTCACATGTCAAGTCGTGTGACTGTATTGTCTATTGCCAGCCCACGTGACCATACACAGTGCTTCAAGTTGATAAATAAACACATTGCGTCCTGGTGTTGCTGTATTCTAGGTGCTTCTGCCAAATTCTTTCCATGTATAGTCTTAAACTGACACTAAAGACTACCATCTTGAAACTTTCAGTTAAGACTTTTCAGTAAGACTCTGGCTTCTAAAGGTGACTGGTAACGGATTGCTGAGTTCTTCAGGGTTTCTTGTGCTGAATTCAGGTAACTATTTTCCCCACATATGCTTATTCCATCCATAAGGAGGGGGAGGGGGGTAGTTATATGTTGTTGTGACATCTCCAAGCAGATGTCGGAATGGAAACTTCGTGATTCTGGCTACCCCTTTGTTGTTATTTGTTTGTTTGTTTGTTTGTTTGTTTAGTTGCTTGGTTGTTTTGGGCACGAAGCCATTCGAATGTGTAATAGAAAGGACACTCAGAAAATGTTTTTAAGTGATTTCAATCGAAACATCTGCTTGGAGATAAGATTGCATGACGATTGCAAACGAATGAATAAATGAACTTAATTGCTGGACAGTTGTACAGGGTACAATATATATATATGACAACAGTGACAATACAACCAATACAACGCTTTTTTAATAATTCTAAAGACTACAGGAATATGGAAGAAAATGACGCATTGACCCGATGTACGTTGAACGTTACTGCCAATGATGTTGCTTTGGTCAGCTTGAAGAAGACAAGATTATTAAAACGTACGACCTTAAGGTCATTCATACCATGTCGGGCAAGGTCACATAGTTACAGCATCCGGTCATATCCGGTACCACCTGTCACCCACGCTAAGTGATCAACCCTGACCCTTACCAATCAGCCAATGAGAGAATGGCATGCAATTATTCGTACGACCAGTTAATGACAAAATAGTTGTATGCCCATGAATTTTTTGCATTTTATGGCAATTCTATTTTGCATCTCTACATACATTCATGTGACATATAATCTGTTTCATAATAAGATTGACATTTTATTTATTATTTTATTTATGTACCAGAAGCTATCGCTTAGGTCAATAACCTTAATTTCAGTCAGCCTTGGGACACGCATCAGAATTAAATGTCAAACCGATCAATAGAGTGATGAAACAGACGGCAGGGCATATTACTGGGTTTTGTAGAATTGTCAACTCGTTCTTTTGCCGGCCATCGTGCAACCACCCGGCCATCTGTGTCCAAGTATTGATTCTTTCGTTTCCCAAACTGACATTTTATTTGTTGTTCCATTTGTTTACCAGAATCTGTGGCATAGGTCAAGGCAGTAGAAGTGTCTCACAAAACAATCCGTGGGGAAATACAAAATGTAGATCGATCCTGACTGTCCATTATACATGTTTTTTTGTAATTATTGGTTCAGCAATTAGAGAATTGTCATTAGCAAATGAGTGTCCGTTAGCTGTCTGTCAAATGTTCTTATTTCAAATTCCAGCGCCGAATTCACAGTTGTATACCTACGGAGAAGAAGAACTTGTTGTTTCTGCTTTGTTTATTCTTCTTCTTCAAACAAATAAGGGCCAGACGTCTGTCACCATGGTAACTGGTGCTGTAGCAGACACACTGTAGTGTTGGAATAGATTATGTAGCAAGTGGCCTGACAGAGTTAGAGGGGCTGGTCAGAGTCATTCTGCCACCACAACACCTACACGCAGCTTTTTTATTTTATCTTTTTTATGAAGATTTACCGCATTTGTGGAAGGATTGACATAACAGGTGACTATCACCTCTTCAAGATGTCAAACCTAAGACCAATCTGTCAGGTTTGAACCACTCACACCGGGAAGGTCCCCTACTCCTTTCGATAAGTGTGGTGGGTTCTTTAACGTGCGTGGGGTGTGGGTCTCCCAAACACGCGTATTGAAAAATATCGAAGAATTCCAAAACAAGCAAACAAAACGGTCAATAGAAAAAATGCATTGTGCTTTCCTATCTGATAGCCTTTACAGATTCAAAAAGATGATATTGATAAAAAGTTTCTTTGGAAAACTCCAGGTTCACCTTTGTTCCTACTGACATTGACAGACTGTGACTTGATTACGGATCGGCGGCTCCAAACGCTATCATCAAACAACGGCGACAATTTTAGCTTCAAAATCAATATTTTCAATAATCTTTCTCGAAAACGTGAGAAAGTTGACAGATCTAGAAATAATGACAGAAAAACTATATTGAAGGAATATTTCCAAATCAAAACGGTTGAAAGCACAATACTGTTTCAGTTTCGGAGAAAGCTATATGACCGAGAGAGCGTTCATTTGTCGGAACTGTCATGCAACGTTCGTGCTAGATGATAGAAATGTGAACCTAAACAGGTACAGATGCATCGACACAAACACGGGTTTAGTTTCATGTAGATTAGATAGCTTTACAAAAATGTCTAGAGTTAGATGTTCAAGGGTGAGGTGCAACAAGTCGATCGGTGTAATATAGCCAGCTGCCGCCGCGCCGCGTGCCTGCGAAGCTGGTGTGTTACGCCGAAAGGCGGTTATACCGGCTATACAGATACAGCCTATGTACCTAAACAACTTTTTACCAATATATTTGTGAATTATACATGTAGCCAACTATCTTTTTACTTGTATATTGTTGTCTTTGTATAGGGGTCTAACAAAAAGTATCTACAAGTTTTCCTGATTTCTGATTTGTCACCCTGGAGATACAATTCACCAATTTCTAGTGTAGAAAAAGCTAGCCACCACAACTGACGCCATTCAGAGTTTCCCGTGTTATTGACCATATACTAGCATTTTGCGTCATTGTGCAGTGACGTCACTGGGTGTTATTGCAACATGTTAGAATAACATTATTGTAGCACTTTACAATAACAATCTAGTAGTGTATACGTATGTTTAACTTCCGAACTCTTTCTCAAAAGTGCCAAGCAGAGAAAGCTGTATATTATCGTTTAGATGCAGTCAATGGGAAAATGCAAGCCTCTACAGGGCTGTTGGAAAGAGTAGACATTGATTAAAAAGACATATAACATGTCAGGGCCAATTTCTAAGTCTAGCCACTTCTGAAGCTAAGAAAATGCATAGACAAAAATCAGCGAGAAATTCCTCTATAGTTACGTACGTACACGAAAGTGCCTGTCATGTGGAGTTGGCTGGAACTTAATTCTCTCTAACCCAGGCCCATGAATGACAAGCAAGTTACGCAATGGTAAAAAAGAGCAAAAAAGAGGAACTTTATCATTATGATTTACTTGCATATTTTTCTGTCGTGTCACGCGACAATTTGGCTCATCTTCAAGCAGACGATGACTCTGTATCTTTACATTCACCCACACTACAGATTCGCACATCGCGACCGGACACATGATTCGCGGACTCCGATTCAACCTGGCTTACTTTTTTTGGGCATGAGATGAAGAACGAAGCGTGGCAGATGTCGTCTTCCCCCGCCCTCTTCGGTTCCTCCGACCCAAACGGGAGCCCAGATGAGGAGACAGCCGACGAGATGACACCCCTGATCACTGAGTCACTAGGAGGGGCGTACGTCAAGGCAAGGCTCCCGAAAGAAAGGAAACAAAAACGACTTCTGTTTCGGAAAAGGTTAGTGCGATGTTGTTTTTAAATGGGCCGATCCCATACAGACCCTCTAGACATGCAAAATACAGGCATAAAAATGCAAATAGAACGGACTTCCAGCCGCTTTCTCATTGGCTGAACTGTTAGTTCCTCTTCTCTCATTGGCTAAACTCAAACTGCTAATTGTGATGGACAGTAAGAATATTGTTGTGCATCTTTTTTGCTGGACTAGCTATAGCAGTAATAAAATTTCAGTGTAGTAGATATAAAAACCATCTTTTGACACCACATTGATACCTTAATGATTGGATAGTACTGATAGTGTAATCGTTGAAAGTATGGGAGTTAAACACACACCACTACCAGTAGACTAGCCCCCTGCTGTAGTGATTGCGCCATTGTGCGGCCCAAGGGCCAGGGGAACGACGATGGGCACAGCCCTAGCTATCCAGACTGCAATATGTAATAAGGATGTCAAATTTCAACTTTTAAAAGTTACACCCCCGATGCCAAAGTGGTTCCGTCTCCATCCTGTGTTTTTGGTGACGTAGTGACCCCATGTGTCACGTGACCACCTGACCGGCGCTTTGGTCATCGATTTTTTTGTCGTCATAACAGTCATCTTTTGTTGCCATGTCAACAAACAAAGATCAGATTTTCCATAAAAGTATCATTTCGACGATTTTTGATAGATACTAATCAAGGACTGTCTCCGACCAGGTTATCTGATTTTTCTTGTCAAAATATCAAATGTCACATCATTTTTGTCATTTTTATCAGTATAATCATATCTGTTGTCTTGTGGGAGCCTTATGCCACAGAACGACTTGTTACACCTAACCTTTGCACATCTAGCTCTATACATAAGACCATCTATTTATTTTGTCCCTAGTGCATTACGCCACACGTGCAATAGAACATTAAAATCCAAACGTTCTATAGAACCTAAGAACACTGGTTACGATGCATTCTAAAGAACATTAGAACACACGCGTTCTATAGAACATAAGGGCACTGGTTACCATACAGTCTTAAGAACATTAGAACACTTGCGTTCTATAGAGCATAAGCACTGGTTACCACACATTCTATAGAACACCAGAACGCACGCGTTCTATAGAACACCAGAACACTGGTTGTCACGCGTTCTATGCGTTCTATAGAACATTAGAAGTGTAGCCATTGGGCCTTGTTACACGCTGAACATTTAATTAAAAAGATCATCCCTCAAATCTGTCCCTCACCCGAAATCACCCCCAGTTACGACCCCATACAGACATGTAGGTGATTTGAGGTCACCATGTGATAGATTTGATCTCAAATATCTGTGGTCTGTGACCTCAGGTCACCCACATGATGAGTTTCGCACTCATCTACTTGTACATGTATATAAGATAGTTTTACATTATTTAAAGTCCTGATAAAGCTATACACACATTTTATTGCATATACATGGTACAAAATACATACACTAAAGAGTGAGCGTGGGTGATGTATCTATATATATATATGTGCTAGCTCTTCAATGGCACAGTACTTTAAAAACAGATAATATAATATGGTAGAAAGTTCTGATGGCACAAGTCTTAGTGAGGAATTTTTGACGGTAGCTAAGATTTCGGAGTTAATGGAGGATGATAGAGGCCTTCCTCCAACTAGATATCATGATGTTTGCCTTCGCAGAAGGAGAACATAGTTTTACTGTTTTGCTCTGTTTCTTCTTCGCCCTCTTTTTCTCCTCCAAACAAATAAGATCAATGACCTGGACAAAATCTTACATTTCTAGTTAAACTAGAAACTTTCGCCATGTTTGTAGCACGGGTTTAACCACGTGCGTTAACAGCCCCGCCTCCGCACCCTCTCCTCTTGTTTGTTGATTTCCACCCTGCAGTAAACAGGATAGATCCTAGTCCGGATGGAGGCTAAATAAAAACAGGACGCGGACGTAGTTTCATCCGACGTCACAGCCATTCCGAGAACTAGCAGATCAAATCGCTGCTTTCACGATGGATTTACGTCCAAACTGTGCGCAAAATACGCACGGGAAGGAACAATTCTAACAGAGGACAACCCAGGGAAGACCCAGGTGTAACAATGAGCGGAAGAAGACCGACCAGAACGCGCAGATCGTCCTTTATTTTGCTGGCCCCCGCCGGGGAGGAAACCACCCTGACAGGAGACCCAGTCGAGCTAGCGCTCCACGTCATGTAAGTGAAGTGGATCTCTCTTAATCTCCAAGCAGATCCCTCTCGGTGGCAAAAAGACAGTATCAAATTGGCCAGGCAGTATCCATTAGCCAGAGAAGGTCGCCGGCCACCGACGGGAGTAGGGTGGGGGTAGCGACAAAAAAAACGGCCATATATAAAAAGGTAATGATCATTCCCCCACAACCTCTGCTTGGAGAGTAGATCTCTTTGTAGGAAGGATTAGGGCTATATGATTCAGAGGTCATCAGTGGTTGTGTAAAACTCGTGGCGCGGTCGCAATTGGTTGTACGATTGTCGTGCGCGATCGCAAACTGGGGCATTTTGGGGGATAGGCGTGCATGTTTTGTTGTGAATGCGGCTGCCTTGTTATCAAAGAGATAGTATTGATTCTTGTGTCATTGTCTGACTGTGATTGTCATGATTGTCGGCAGTTGGTCGTGTCACAGCCTGTACGACAATACTACGACATCAAAATCGTGCGAGATCTTACGACAAAACGTGCGTCGATCGCAAACTGGGGCATTTGGGGATAGTCCTGCATGTTATGTTTGGAAATGCAGCTTTGTTATCGAAAAGATAGTATTGATTCTTGTGTCATTGTCATGATTGTCGACACTTGGATCTGTCACAGCCTGTACGACAATAATACGACATCAAAATCGTACGACGATCTTGCGACAAATCGCGTCCCTAAATGACACCCAAGAAACTAGCGATTCTACCGAAGCATATTATCAACAAATCTATAGGAGGGGTTCACATATGTATAGAATCATATGTTTACGGTTCAATCGTTATAACGTCGTGTTTTGTGCATCGCACGCAAGTCTTTTGTTGGATTGTTTGCGAAACTTTCGTGGAAAATTCTGACTTTATTTTGATTTGATGAGCAGAGTGTTTTGCTTTTCTTGGCGTCTGGATGATTTGTTTTTATGAAGCTTCGTCGCTGGTATATTTTTGTAGATAATGAGGGGCAAGAGTATGTTTTTGCTTTCATTCTGTGGTTAGTGACCCTGACCTGTATGTCACAGTGGCTTCTGGATCTAAAGATTGGGGTTCGAATCCTCCAACATCGCAGCGCATTGCACTTGTTAAGATACAAATATAGGATTTTCTAGTATATTCTAAGAGCTTTTAGTAAGCTGAATCAATGTGCATTTTTTTATTAACCACAAAAAAAAGATCATAAGAGCCACTCAAATGTACTGGGTTACTGCACAGACAGTGAGAACAGACGTTATTTTGGCCGTTGACTGGAAAAGTTTAAGGTTATACCCATACGGGAAACAATCACGAGGTATAACAATAGTGATGTTGTTTTAGGAAAGAAGCTTTCAGCGTGGAACTCCTCCTAAGAGGTGGTGAATGGAGGAAAGGGCGATTTGTTTCCTCTTATTATCAACTGTCCATTGGCAATATTGGTCTTTCACAAAAATACTCCCCCCCCCCCCACACACTTTTGGCAGGCAGTGCCCAATGGTACATGTATTTATGTTTACCGAAGGAAAACATATTGTTTTTGCTCAGTTTCTTCTTCTTCCGTTCCAAACAATAACTTCTGACCTCGTCAATCAGATGTTTCTCACCATGGTAACAGGTATTGGGTTACATCATGTTGCAATTTCATAGTAGGAGGGATTTAGACTCCTATCACCATATATATGAATGTGTTTGAGTAAGATTAACAGAGTAAACCACATGCGAAGGTAAACATTATGCCTTTGCTTTGCAAATATTACCTTTCTAGTTAAGTAACTGTTTCTGTGCGTCTGGCGCTTACTGAACGATTTGTGTTTCTGAACGATTCTTTTTTCGCAGATCTAGAATTTCCCTTTTTTTGTAATCACCAAAGTTGACCAAACAGATTTTGAGCCGATTTTTCCATGTTCGAAGCCCAGACGTGAGATAAAAAAAAACAACAACGGATAAAAAAGAAACATCAGCTTGGAAATCAACTTTTGGGCAGTCCTGGGTCGACGTTACAATCACGCAGAAAATAAGTTAACATAACCGCACGTAACGTCGGTGAAGGTTAGACATCCAGGTAATAAGATACGCCACAAAACAGTTACTCGAGCAACTAGATAAGATTTTGGAAATTATTTATGTTTTCAGCTGAATCAATGGCACTGATGTCAGGCAATAAAGTTAATAAAATAAACCTGTATTGACAAAATATCAGACGAGAAATATGATCATAAAAGACGGATAAAAGAACTATGTACACAACATAAACATTTGATATCATCTAATATCAAGAAATATGACGGATATAAGGTCAAATTAGTGACACTGCTGGGCGTATGACGATAGTAATCCTGATCATATCAGAAGTTACTCATTTTAGAATACTCTTCTAGAGAAAACGTATATGTGGGGCCCGAAAGTTCTAGAATCTTCGCTACCAGGGTTTTATTTGAATAGTAGCTGACTGGGGGATAACTTTCGGGGTCGGCCGCTAGGAGCGCATTTTAATCAGACTCATTTGAACAGGTGCCTCTTCTGATTTCACGGGGGCGCCGTCTAGCGCTTGTTCTGGAACTGCATATACACCAAAGGAACAACAATACCTTAAGACTAGCCTGTACCAGGCTTCGGAAGCTGCCAGAAAGAGAGGAAATTGGCCGAATAGAAAGATAACATACCAGAGGAGTTGGTCCGCTAAGGGCGTACAGTTTGCCGGCTATACGAAACAATCACACACACTATTAAGCACCCCTTTTAGAAAATGAAGGGGTCCAGGTAGTGGCATGCGAGGCGTGTGCAAGAGCTTTTTATATGGTCTGTTAAATGAACAATAAAACACTTCAAAAACTC